GAGGGATGCAGACCTCAATCCAGAACGTGTCTCATAACATACCTGGGAGCACATGCTGTGCTGCTAGCAGTGCACGTGGCAGGGACCGGTGGCCCATTTCTCCCCAATTTCTCCTCACGGTGATTTCATGCCTGCCTTGAGACTGGGCTGCTCTGTGTTGCTCAAGTTTTAGAAGGTTAGGTACGATGCAATGAAAGGTGTTACGTGCACCAAAGTGGGATAACAAGTAGTCATGGCCTGTAAGGGCACTGGTTTCCAAATCTCTTACAAGCAAGGCTACTGCTATCTCTTTGACTAAAATAAGAAGCAGATCTTGCTGTTCATGCGGTCACCGGAGTGTGCACTGCAGTCTGCACACCCTTATCAATTCTCCACCAGCACTGTTGGCTGAGTAATGCGTGTTTTCACTACAGATATTATTCTGTGTCTGCCTTGCAGTATGTATGTCTTGCAACTTTTCTTTTCAGTTTTCCCTGGGAGTAGTTGGGCAACTATTATTACCCAGTATTTGTCAGATTATCGCCGCTGCATGTGTGTTTCTTTCAGTCATATTGATCTGACCCGTTGCCAATTAAACGCATTAAGAAATGCATTTCTTTCTTTTTCTTTCCTCCAAGGAATCTGCTGCTTTTAAGCAGAAAATAGTTACATTTCTTAGCTGTTTTCCTGTGTGGTTAAGACAGGGCAGTACATGAGGCCAGGACCTCATTTTGCGTTTGGGCTTGACCCTGTAAACACTTCCTGCAGCACGTTTCGTTTCACGTAGCACCAGGTCAGGACTGCTTCAACAGTAGGTCATGGCTTTTTGTTGGTAGACCAGGGTGGAGGCCAGCTGCTAAAGATGGCCCAGCAGATCCGAGCTGAGACACCGCAGCGGACCCAGGCTGAGGACACCCCAGCAGACTGAGGTTCGGGGTGTGTTATTTGGCCATGAGCTGAGCTGTATACGGGCACTTCCTGTCCCATGGGCAGAGGACTTTGCTATTCTGGGTCATCAAGTCACCAAGAGTAACGATTGCTGAAATGACTTCATTAAATCATCTAGAAGTCTGGTTTCTACTCCTTTCTTTCTTGAGTCCAGAAGTTGGTAACCCCGGAACTGGCTCACGGCTGTTCCTGCTTGGTGTCTCCTGTGGTAGAGCTGCTCCCACGTCAAGCACCAAGACGTGCTGTGCCTCCCTTGGTGCCATGTCCGCTCCTGGCAGGGTGCTGGCCTTGGCTGCAGAAGGCCTGCCTACTTTGCCCACTCTGACCTGGGGGAAGACAGACTTTATTTTATATTTTATTATATTTTTATTTTTATTTTATTCTATTTTATTCTATTTTATTTTTCATCTAAAAGCTATCCATCCGTTTGTCAATTGAAATAGGAGGCAATCTTCTACCACCAGTACTTACTCGTGTAAACATGCTGATCAGCTGAAACATTAAAGCTAAAGTTGAGTGCTACATCATTTAATCAATGACCAGTGTATACTTCAGCACATCTACAGTTGCAGCTGGGGGTGAAGTAGTTCCCACAATTATGTCCAGTTGTTAGGGTACACTTAGGCACTGGAGATCTCTTTTTCATGTATCATTTATTAGGTAAATGGTCCTAAATGTAATACTCGGTGCTGAAGAGAGACGTGAAAAGCAACTGAGACAGACCACCATTTCTGGATGTTACTAGTGGTGGGTGCTATTAGTCAGAATTGGAAACTGTAAAAGACCTATGACCTTTTATAAGTACTCAGCAAACACTAAGTTGCTGCTAGTCAGTTAAAAGCAGTTTGGTGTTTAATAGTGGTTTATGATTATTTTCAGACACAGATGAGTGAGGAGTTACCTGGGGCAACTTGCTGTTGTCCAGCCAGAACTGAAGCAGCCTGTGGTAAAGATGAATACAGAGAGGCTCATAACAGCAGAGCAGCTCAGCAGATGACAGAGCGCTTGCCCAGGGCCTGAAAGAGGAGCTCAGGATGGATGTGGGGTATTACAAAACAGCAGATATCAAGGGGATGAAGCAAAGGCTTAAAATGAAAGGAGTCAGGCATGAGAGAGTGATGGCCACGTGGAGATCCAGCTAAGGCACTGAAGTGGAATAACATGAACCAAGCATCAACAAAAAGCAGCCAGGAGAAGCAGGTAGCAAAAAGAACAGCCAGCAGCTAGGTTTATTCCTAGCCTCTTGGCATGCATGAGACATCCCTTTCAGCTGTGCCTGATAGCCAGAGGACATGACAGCTTTAGCTGTAGCTCTTTTGTCTCCAACTATTGTGATTTATGTCCTCAGTTCTCTGGGCTGGCGCCTCGCCTGCCATCAAGAGAGTGAGGCATTGCAGGATTTTTAGGGTAAGTCATTTTTCAGTCAATGATGTAACCCACCAATTCCCAAGATTTCAAGACAGTTGGATGAAGTGGTGAATATACCTATTCTTCTGCTGGTGGCTGCTCTGCCCACCAGGAGTACTTAAGAAAGAAATGCAGGAAAAACTCTTTTACAGGAGTTCAGGACATTGTCTGCAGCCTGTTACACTCCTGCTCTCACAGAAACTCCACACCGAGAAAATGGTTTAAGGGAACTGCCCCATCGGGTGCCTGCAGGAAGGCCTGGAACAATGGCTAACGCAGGAAGGATGTTGCAGGTGGATACGGCATGTTTGTGCCAAGGTGCAGAGCAGAAGAGAAGTCACCACGGCTCTAGCGGACGCCAGATGTTTTATGACTTTTCAGTATGTTTTGAAAAGCATCCCGTGGATGATCGCAGAACTGAGGAATAAGACTAATGGCAGGCTGTGTTAATACTGGGTGGTTTTACACTGTAAAGGTGGTACTTTGTGGCCTCTTCACTTCAAAGGTGGGAACTAAAAGAGGCTGAAGTGAAAAGAGGGGTGGAGATTAGCACCGCTCTTGGGAGAGCAGGAACGAAGGTTGAGGGCAAGACTGAAGAAGCTGATGCAAGTGGTTAGGGAGTTGGGTTTTTGAGAGAAGAGGGTGTTTCTTGGGAGCAGTGAGCCAATGGGCTCTCCAGGCACAGCAGCTGCAGGCAGCGGTGGCGGGGACAAGGCAAATCCATGCCCCAGCACAGCTGCTCCCTGGCCCCATGATGGAGGGGTGTCACAGCAGCTGGAGCTTGGGGGTTCAGTCTCCGTTCTCTCTGCTCACCCCAGGAGCCTACCCCAACCCAAGAAGTCTGGGCATGAGCAATGCTAAATATCACTGGCTTTTGCCACTAGTATTATATATCACATTTAGGAGACCGGTTCCAGAGGTAATTGGAGTGGGAGCCTGGAGCAGATGGCCTAACACACTGGCCTTTGCCAGTGGGTTATGAGCTTGATGCGATCATGAATAAGTAGAAAGGTGTCAGGGATGTTGCCCTTCTGAGGGCTGAAAAGATCTTGGCTAAATCCCAGCAAGACAGGAGGAGAAACCTTGGAGCAGATCGCAACACAATAAAAATTGAGACCCTTCTGTTATTTGAAACCTTTTCTCTGATACAGGCCAACAAGGACTTTGAATTAATATGTGCACCTTCACTAAGTCTTCTGAATTATTCCTATGTTATTTTTGTCTGGTTTTAATTGGTTGAATATCTGCGGGCTCATTCTGCTGTTACTTTGGTGTTTGCAAGCTTTCAGATTCACTGCGTGTGCCCTTGTGTTCGTATTTGTATTTGTGACTCTCCCGAAGTTTTACAGGACATAGCACGTCTCCAGAGATTGTTATTCATTATTTAAAACCCGCTGAATTGGAATCCAAATTCTATCCATTCTCTGTGGGCCATTATTTATTTTCCATTCATAAACTTTTATCAAGTAACACCAGGCAGCATTCAGGCAGCGCAGCAGCCAAGAGGCGAAGTAAGCCATTCACAAACACATCTCGGGCTGATAGTCACCCGTAGACACTGGTTGGTGAATCATACTGAGCAGCAAATACGGCCTGAACATCAGGATCCTTTCACATGCTGAAGGAAGTGTTGCAATTTTACTCATTTGATCTTCATATTGCTCTCTGGAGGCTTTCATCCCAACTGTTTCTTTTTACAATAATTCGGGGACATATTATGAAATCTGGAATTCTGCTAAATTCAAGCCAGCTTCTTGCTCAGTATGACATTTAGGATCTTAATTCTGCAACAAGTTACATCAAACATATGGCCACATAGCAACACACTAAAATGTGAATTTACTTCGAGTTGCAAGAGGAATCCTACACACGAGTATCCAGGGCTCTGCTCAGACAACACAGGAGCACGCATGCTGCAGCTCCAAGTGGAAGGGAGACTACAGCTCCACGGGGTTTTCCTGTCACCTCTGCAGCCTTATAAGTCCATTTGTGGGTGAAAGTGCAGAGTTGACAGCTAAGGGCAAAAGATTTTGCCTGTGTGTGAATCCTACCATGCTAGTTATAATGTGACCTTTCTCTGGATAGTGGCGAGTGCCAGGGAGGGGGTGAGGAAAGAGATACAGACGTCTTCACTCTGAATATTTCTTGTTGAAAATAATCCTGGAAGAAATATTTCTGAGAGTCTCAGTTTCACCTTTTTCTTAACCCTGCTGGTATTGCTTAGATGGCAGTGACACCCTGTGGTACCAGCCGCTGGTGCAGCACTCGGGCGGTAGTTCGTTCAGGAAGTCAGTATAAGATGCAATAACAAAAAGTCTAGGGATGTTTTTAATTCATCTTCACAGACCGCATCCTCCATCCTCCCTGAGTGCCTTTGCACTAAGCCGGATATACCGTTCTGGATTTAAATGTCCTGGAAGTAGCTACTGCCTCTTTCTGAGCATTTGTGCAGTGCCTGCATGGTGGGTCTCTCTGGTTCGACTCACATCTCTTGGCTTTACAAGTAAGAGGAATCAGCTGTAGTAACAAACCAGTATTGCATCACGGTGCACCTTTGCTATATAACTTAGTGAAAATGCTTGCTGCCTTTCTGCTTGCCCCGGTGAGCAAGGAAAGCTTCTGGCTGGAGGGGACAGTGCTCATCTTGGGTATTTCCTCTCTTTCAGGGGGTTCATGAGTCGAAAGGTGTGACTGAAGATTATTTGAAACTGGAATCCCTGATCCAGAAAGTCGTTTCGCCTTACTTGGGCACATACGGTCTGTATTCCAGTGATGGACCCTTCACGCACTCTTCCTGTATCTTGGGTAAGAATAACAGAGACTCAATTTGACGTAGCACAGAGGGCTTCACCAAAACCTTGGTACACACAGGGCCAGGGCCCACATGAGAGGAGACTGCCAGTATTGACGCAATGTGGTCAGGCTCCTTTTCTAAGGCCATGCTCTTTGCGATGTGCAAAGTCACAGTGAAACTTGCCGGTGGCAGAAGATGAAAACATAACATAACAGAAGATGAAAACATAACATCATCATAACAGCACTCATTAATAAATCTGTGAATCTAGAGTGTGTTTAGCATTTCCATTCTACCTTTTAATGAGAGCGCTTTAACACAGGATGCTTTATGGTCAGTGAGAGGAAGAAGCAAGAAGCCATTTCTAGAGTGCTGAGTAGTGTCTGTTCATTAGTGCACAAAGGTCATACAAGGCTGTTTCAAGCAGGGGAGAGAGTAGGAATTTGTCTTAGAAAAGACTAACGGATAAGCCTTCAAACACGTAAAAGCTTTCTGCAGAGTGGAAAGTAATAAGCTGTTCTCCATCCCACTGGAGATAAGAAAAATAGAGTGGACCATGTATAGCAGGGGAAATTCAGATTACATGGAAGGAAAAATCTCTAATGTCACATAAACCGCCTCTGGAGGCTGTTGAATCTTCCCTGCTAGAGGCGCTATATACATGTCACATACATAGGCATCCATAAGGAGCAAGGTGGGTAAACGCGGTCCTGCCTGGTGGCAGAGGCTGAGTGACCTTCTTGAGTCCCTTCCAGCTTACTTTCTATGATACTTTGAGCTCTGAAGCATTCAGTGTCTTCCCGTGAAGGCAAGATTTGGCCAAGATGAAGGTCTTCTGAATATCCCACATAGTAGTTCAAACTGTTGAAAATGCAAGGGGGATACTACCAGTGTAAATCAAAAAGGAAATGTGGTAGTACCTGAATATTTTAATGTAAATACTGTGATGGCCTGCTTGAGAAAACAGAGGGGAAGATAAGTTCAATTGTGTGTTTTCTATGCAGTCAATTTAATCTGTTTGCTTGTCAGAAATGGTCAATAAAGTAGTTGATTGTTCCTTGAAGCCGAATGGAAAACTGGATGTATTGCAGTAGGCATTTAAGAAACAAATCAGTTTTACGTGAATAAATAGAGGCCAGTTATTTACGGAAAATGGTTCAGGATTACTACTTTGTATTCATTGCTTGCCATTAAAAGGCCACAAGCATTTAAATGGAGCCCCAAATTGACGTTTTCCAAATACAAGCTTTTGTATGTCAGGACAGAAGAAACGCACCCAAAGAGAATAAAACTCCAGGGAAATGGATTGTTAGAAAATAAATGTTGTATTACATGACTGCAGAAGATAGGAAGGTTTTGATGAACCAGGCACTTCCCCTTGCTGCGGTCTGGGGTGTAGATCTGTAGCAGTACCCCTGAATAGGTCTTATTATAGTCAATGAACTTGGATCCAAGGGAGCTGAGCGCGTAAGTCTCTGCTGCTTTTAAACTAACGCATCTAGTTCTGCCCAACTGTTTTGGTAGCATGATTTAAAACTGTGACATATTGTCCTTGGGACTGGTGAGGCCACTGACCTCTTTTCTTCCCTGTCTGACCAACACACCCAGCCTTCCCTCCCAGCCAAGCCTTGGTGTGACCAAAAAGCCAGAGTTCCTGTGGCAGGGCAGCCCCAGGGAACCTTTTCTGTTTGCCAGGTCAAACTCCTAACAAAGAAAAAGTCCAAAAGTGAATTTGGCTCAGCTGATTTCACTGCTCGCTGAGGCAGACACAACTGCAAAATACAATCTTAAGTACAGAAACTGGCTTTTTTTGTAGTACAGCATATGATTGGAATTTGTGTCCAGGTAAGCACGTAATTATACATAAGTATAATTTTAGAAGACTGGCATTTGTAAAGGAAATTGTGTGGTTTTCAGGGGAACATATACAAGCATCCCGATTTAAAGCAGAGAGTTTATATGCAGTGGCTGTGCTTGACTTCCAGTGCGTAACTGGATTCCCTTCTCCAGCCGTGCCCCTTTCATGGGGATGGCAAAGTGAGAGTAGCAGGAAGAGAGCTTCAAAAGTGAGACCTATTATTCACACTACTTTTTTCTTTAGCACAAGTGAGTCTGAGCACTGAGGTCTGCAAAAAGTTTGCGTGACGGTCATTTTGATCTAGCTGCCGGAGAGCACTCCAGCCCTAAACCACTGGTGGCGGATCTCCGTGCTGACTTGCTGCCACCTGCTGCTCATTCTTTGGAAAGAGCCCACTTGTTTAACAGCAGCATTTGTACAATCACTGCTGGATCGAGTGCAGGTTTGTCCCCCAAAAAGGTTGCTGTGGGCACTGCCCTCCAGTTAATGTTTCCAAACACTCGTCGTGCTCTCTCCTTGTATGGTCTCTGAATGGTGCTTTGAATCTTAAGTTTTTCCAGAATTATTAATAAGACTGCCTGTCTTAATCCTTGTGACCCAAATTTGAAGAGACCCGATTTTCCCAGGGTGGGTGGAAGAGTTAGATTTCAACTACTAGAAATTAGAGATGACCTTTATAGCCTGAACAAGAACAGACTTGCGCTTTCTGTTCTTGTCTAAAGAAAGTGTTTGCAATTGTCTATCAGGTCTCCCACAATATTTACTGTTTTACTCCAGCTGCTGAAGTTGTATGAGTATGAGGAGTATCTCAGCTATTACTTGTAAAGATATGTTTGGGGTCTTCAATATGCTAAAGAAATCTAGGAAATCTGAATCCTGTGGATCTATAAAACCAGCAAAATGTATTCTTGAATGACAAAAACTTTTTTAAGAAGAAAAGCTCGTGAATATTCAGGCCTTGACTTTTCTTCTGAACACTTGTAATCATTAATACCACAAAAATGGGAGACTTTGTAGATATTACTCTGGATCTCTCTCTATTTACAGAGAAGCGGTTCTTCAGGCGTTCAAAATCGGGTGACATCCTTGCCAAGAACCCCGTGGTACGATCGAAAAGCTACAACAATCCACTGCTGACGCCAGTGGCCGAGTATGAAACTGAGGGCATGGCTGCCAATGGAACGGGCATCCGAAGGCACTCTGTTTCGGAAATGACCTCCTGCCTGGAGCTACAGGGGTACTCCAACCTCACCACCATCATGGACAACGGTTCCAAGAGCTCCATGACGGCCACGAAAAGCTCTCTGTCAGGGGACCAGGAGAGGCCCAGCACCGGGTCAGTGCAATGCTCTAGCAAACTCAGCACGGTTGAGCAACAGAAAGGACTCTTCCACTCGATGGACGACCCACATAGGTCTTTTGAGCTGGACAGGGACCCTTCCTTGATTCCAGTTCCTTCTTCCAGCCCTGAGAACATAGTGGATCAGATTTTGGAGTCGATCGACTCTGATTCTGAAGGCATTTTTATTGATTTTGGCCGAGGCTGTTCCAATTCATCAGCATACAATGTGGATGTGAACAGACAGAGCATCATGTGAAGGACATTGGGAGACAAACCTTGGGTTTTAATATTATATATGAAAGTTACTAACGCATTGAGTCGGACTATGGGCAAGCTATATATGTCTAGGGCAGAACCTCTGTTGTAGGTCATCACAGCTGTACTGAAGTACACAAAAGTTTACAGCAGGCGGGAATCTGCTGCGAGGGGGAAGAAACTCCAACCACTTCTCCCTGTCCCTGTCACTCTGCAGTCAGATTTCTTATTGTCTTTATAAACTTAGGGGTTCACAAGCTGACAAGTGTCTGGTAAAATGCTAAAAACACAGCTGGCAGTGTTCGTTCAGTAAAACAGCCTAGCAAATAGCTGTGTTCACTTTAAATTTTCTCAAGAGATTTCCTGTAGACAGCAGGTTGTTCTCTGAACTGTAACACTTCAGCCAGAGTAAAAACATATCCTTTTAAAAAAAAAACAAAAAAACCCAGAGGCTGTGGGCCGTCGTGCCACAGAATACAGTGATAAAGAAGTCTCTTTTAATCTTTTTCTTGTACATCTTGTATGCACTCCTTTGCCTAATGGTGAGTTAGAGTTCTTGAAGAAAGGCAAATAAACAGAAATGTGCTACCTGATGTCACACGATACCTCATGTCTCACGTTCTGTTTCACAGCCAATACCTTGTGTCTATGAGAGAGTTGTCTTGAAACTGGCTTTTAAGGCCCTGTTAATTTGCTCTGAATGTGGCACTTCCAAGAAATCTGTGCACTGTCGACTCCTGGAGCATCCGTTGTATGGAGAGATTCCAGCAGAATTCAACTTACTGGTTTGCTAAATAAATAAAAATATGGCCTCTCGGTGGAAATCCTCATTATATATTTATATTCTTAAAGAAATACAATAATGCATATATTGTCAATTATGTATTGATATTTGGGGAGCGTGAACCTTGCAGCTCTTCTCATCCTCCCCAAAGAGCACTCCCAGCGCTGTGAATCTCCCTTGCAGTAACATGGTGTTGTAGAAGAGCTGTGTCAGTGGTTTTACAGAGGATTGATGCACATGATACTAAGGTGAAGTAGAAATCCTGATGCCTGACAGATGTTTGATCGGATGGTTTTACAGTGAAGAAAGAGCTACTTCAGGTCACTCCATTCTAGGCATCTCCTCTGGAGGAGAGAGTCAGTAACTCCTGAGCTGCTCAGCAGAGACTGGTCCTCAGTTCGGTCTGGCAGCACCTGGTGCGTAGCTCGGATGCTTAAGGACTCTCCAGCTTCGCTCTGCACTTGCACTGCTGACCCCAACATTCGCCAAACTCTTCTCCGGGTTTTGACGACGTTTCTAGGCTCAAGGCCCCACTTCTGATACTTAATTTCCTTTGGCCTCACTACTTGATCTTTTGGAAAGTGTGAGCTCAGTCTTTTGCTACTGCCCTGCTTCACTGCTGGAGATTTCAGCTTCCGGATGGATGTGCAGGCTCCCCATAACACACAGATTTGAGAACCTCAGAAGCCAGCTGAGGAAGGAGCCCCGTAAGCGAGGCAGAGGCTTGGTGTCTGTTTTGCTTCTTTGTGTTTGGCATGTTCAGCCGTGCAGCCTCCCCTACAGGTAGGCACTTAAGTTAGGTCATACTTAAAAGTTTCTTTAAACAGAGAGAAATAATTGCTTCTATGTCCCAGCGGTCTCAAACCTAACAGCCAGGGACCACACCTGGTTGGGACCATCCGATGTGGGGCAGAGTCAGTGTGGAAGTACTTAACACCAACTGGCAGAAATCCAGGTGCTCTCCCTCAGCGAGAGCCGCTCCGGTGCCTGGGGGGATCTTTGAGGTCCAATAAACGAAACAGCTTCGGATGCAGCCCCCTAACTATCCCTCTGGATGTGCAACTAAAAGCTGCAGATTATCAGGTCACCCATTTGGCCGCTTCCTGGCCATGGCGATGCCTGTACGATCCCGCAGTTGTGCACCGGGGCACACTCGGGAGTACTTCGCTCCCGAAGGGGCTGAGTATGTTGGCAGCTCGCTCACATCTGAGGTTTATCAGGTTCCTACCAACTGGTTGGTGCTACCAGTGGGTGTTTGCTCACCCTCTCCTAGCTGGGGGGCATGGTGAGCCCGCAGTCTCAAGTCACGTTTGTTGCCACATTGCTGCTGTGCAAACCACAGGAGAGAGGAGGAGGTCTCGCTGAACTTGAATCCAATACACGACAGGATGGGTGATTTCCAAAAGTGCCTTAAAGTGGTACAAGCCCCCGTGCTGGCGCCCTCGGTCTCCACCCTCGTCCCTTCTGACAAATGCTGTTCAGTTTCCTGAATTATTATTTAGGTTGGAGAAAAAGAGCATCCACAGCCTTGTTCTAAGGACACAGTGCAGGGGAGGAGAAGATAGATTGAAACAAGAAAATTTAAAAAATACAGTGGATCAAGGCCTCTGCACACCTTCTTCCCTTAGGGAACATTAAATGTAGTTAAGAGTCATAAGCTTACTTAATTATTGGAGAATTTTTAAGCACAGTTTCAACTGAGGCTAGGACCCTTCCCACCTGAGCTTTTGCACAGTTAGTGCCCTCCCCTATGATAGGAGACCTTGAATCCCCGGGTATGCTGGCAACGAATTAACCTCTCCCACCTTGCACGCATGCAGCTAGTGAATGAAAATCCTCCTCTAGCTGTTTTAGAAGGTTATTTAAAGATTGGGTTCAAGACGGTGACCGCGTAAGAGGAGTATTCCTAACAGCCACCTCAGAAAGCCTCGAAGAGGAGCAGGATTTAGGAAATAGTCTTGTCTTCAGCGTTTCCTCTTGGTTAAGGCAGCCTGGCGCTTGTTGTAAAAGCCTGTTCTTGGACACTTCGCCCTCCCACCTGTGCTGCATGGGGAACCAGCTATCCCAGAGCGTTGTAGCATTGCAGCCCAGCACTTCCAATCTAGCTTTACATTTCTAACTCTTACACTTAAAGCAGGCTTTTTAGGGTCAAAGCTCTAGCAGCAGAAAGATCTAACGTAGGCTTTTCATTAGCAGCACATAGACTCTTCAGCAGATACAGACCAAG